CACATAATAAAACCAAACATAAAATACTGAATCAGCGGGCCTATTAAAAAGGTCTAAAAATAACTCTATCCCTGTGTTTAATTGAGCACCAATCCATGGAGACGTATGGGGGATCTGATGTATAGCTCCAGATATACATAACTTCAGCCCCAACAGATAGAGGTGAGTGGTCAGCTTCACGCCCTGGACGCCACTGTAACTCTTGGGCAGGAAACTGGACGGGTGAAGTATTTCAGACTGGAAATTCACAGAATTTTGTGGGACGCAGCTGTCCTATCAGTATCACATCAAAATTCTGTGTCAGCCCAACAAAGAAATCATTATTTGACTGACTCGCTGCAGATGTATATCTGGACAGTGTTGTTGCTTGAAATAGGTCAAGGTCATTTTCTTCAAAATTCTCGCCTTGCCATGCGTCGGTTCGTTACGTTTCAATGTCTCCGTTTCATTAACTTCGCAGCAGGAAAACAAAAGAGGCAGCATTAATCCCTTCCTTGAAAACTGATCAGTGGGTGAAGCAAGAGTCATGAGAATCGACGCTACGTAACCTTAATAGAGTTCATAGAACCCCTTTGAACAAGTAATATAAAACAATCGGCTGGTTTCTGCTTATCTTTACATATATAATCATTTAATTTTTTGAAATCCTCAGTTGAACTGGATTCATAGAATTAATGTAAAATGAACGTAACGAAAGGAGCTGCCATATTGTGGTCTTCTGGGTTATGGTGCCGTGTAGTTTAGTGGTTGTTCGAAGGAAAATACTGCCTGCATCTCGCTTTTCACTTCCACATCGAATATGGGAGGAACAGCACGTTGTTAACCACCTACAAAGCTACACTGTATCATAATTCAGGAGACCATAACGTCAATCACCGAGCGGACAAGTGCAGCGGTAACGTTCCAGACTCATATTCGCGAGGAGGTGGATTCGAATCTCGGCCGAGACACCGCCTATCTTCGGTCCCTTCCGGCACATTTTGGGATAATATTAGATTAAGCGATGACCGCTGTCTTTCAAATCCTTTCCATTTAATCGATTACCGAACCATTCTGAGCTATATAGTCTAGATACTGATAGCGTTGTAAAAACACTCACACTCCGTACAATATGAACTTTCACCGCTGTGAAAAATTCAAATTTCATACAATAAAATGGCACGTTTGATGTCAACTTCGGCCACCTGTAGGGGTTGCGAGAGGTACGCATAACACTGTGACATGAACTTCTGGAGTTCGAGACAAATATCGCGATCTTAGGTTTTCATCTCAAGAACTTAATGTCATATTAGCTGAAGAATTGAAAGCAATGGGAGTAATGGGGGCATTCACAACTCCAACCTCGCACCATTTTTTCCACGCATATCTATATCNACGTGCACGTCCTCGTGTGAACCGCGTCTGTCAGCTGGCGGGTGGTATTTTTAGCCAGCTACAGACAGAGCGTTCTCGTTATCTCGAAACTTGAGAGCTACGTAAGGCGGAAGGGTTGGTACGTCCGGCGCGGTTCACAACCGAGCGGCAGCCTGTGTTGCGGCCGGCGGTGGCATTTTCGAAAATCAGCTTTAAGCACCAATAAATTCAAATTAAAGGTAATTTCACGAAGTTAACTTTACAATCATACTTTAAATGTATCATGTATTATGCTGGTTTACTATTTTGTTCCGTTTATTGTCATAACTCCGTAACCGTCCAAAATCGAACACATGTTTATATGAACTTTTTTGATCACAAAGACCTAGGAAATCACCTCCTGCAGTTATGCCCTAAAGTCGTGAAACACTCTGTATATACGTGGTGCTATCAGAAAGTTCCCGAAATATGAATTTTGCTCGCGAATGGTTATGAGTACATCGAAATACCGCTAGGTGTCTCCCCACACACCCTTCTTGAATCAGTGTGGCAAGCGGTGTCGAGTTGAGTGGTTGGGTTTATTGCTGGTGAACGTATTTCCATTGTTGTGTTTCCGTGAGTTTGCGGTTTTGCGATGGCTGACCTGAGAGAGCAGCGTCTGTATAAAATTTGTTTTAAACTTTGGAAAACCGCTGCAGAAACGCACCAAATGTTAAAGCAAGCTTTTGGTGACAACATTTTAGGCCAGACACAAACTTACGAGTGGTATAAGCGTTTCAAACATGGCCGAACATCGACTGATGATGACGATCGTTCGAGATGGCCGTCAACTGGCACCACGCCAGAAAATGTCGCGAAAGTTAAAGATCTGATTCTGCAAGATCGTAGACTGACCATCAAAGACCTCTGTAACACCTTGGGACTAAGTTATGGTACATGTCAACGAATTTTGTCAGAGGGACTGAACATGAGGAGGATTGCGGCGAAGTTTGTATCACGACTGCTGCAAAATGAACAGAAGAAGCAGCATCGCTTGGAAGTCTGCAGGGAACTTCAACAACAGCTTCAACACATTTTCTTTCGAAAGTTGTCACTGGTGACGAAAGTTGGGTTTATGACTACGACCCTGAAAGCAAACAGCAATTGTCGCAATGGAAGAGCCCTTCTTCACCTTGGCCAAAAAAAGCTCGACAAGTCAAGAGCAACATTAAGTCCACGCTGAACTGTTTTATTTTTATATTGGAGGGATTGTTCATAAGGAGTTCGTCCCTCCTGGTCAGACAGTCAATAAAGAGTTCTATCGCGATGTTCTAAGGCGTTTGAGGGAGGACATGAGCAGAAAACGTCCAGAGAAGTGGCGCACGAACGACTGGGTACTCCATCTTGACAACGCATGACCACATACGGCTTACACTGTGCAGGAAATTTGGGCTAAAAACAAGATGGCAGTTGTTCCCCACCCACCGTACTCGCCAGACTTAGCTCCATGCGACTTCTTTCTCTTCCCCAAGATGAAAATCAAGTTGAAGGGGCGAAGATTTGATACAGTTGAGGAAATTCAAGCGGAAACGCAGACGGTACTAAACACCCTAACAAAGAAAGGCTTCTAGGATGCATTTGAAAAGTGGCAGAAACGCTGGGATCGGTGTATGCGCTCCCAAGGGGACTACTTTGAAGGTAATGGTGCAGAATAAGATCTAGGTAAGACGTAATAGTTTTTATTAATATATTTTGGGATCTTTTGGATATCATCACACACACACACACACACACATATATATATATATATACAGGGTGTCCCAGGAGGAATGGACCAAACTTCGGGAGGGTGTTCCTTATGTTAAAGTATGCCGATATAACCCAAAACACCTATGTCCAAAGTTGAACGGTTACGGAGATAATGGCCAGAGAAGTGTCAAACTTTGACCGGTGTTACACACTTGTTGATTACAAAATACATATTAAAACTGGCAGGAATATGTGGATTCTGTAATGTTAATAATGTACGTAACATCAAACTAACTTGTGAGTGACGGAAAGCCATAAAATTGAAGTACGAAATACTCGCTCGCCATGTCATAATTGTCCTTAGGTTTCCAAGCACTATACATGACACATGACTGGCGAGCGATGACGTAATATGGCTGCGCTATAACCCGACCACATAACTGTAAACGTACATTCACAGGAAATCTCTTTTGGAATTTCGTTTCCATTATCTCATGTGGATTATTATGGAACCACGTATGCACATTTCGTAAATTATTTACACCATCCAGGGTAAAAGACGCCTCATCACTGAATAAAATGACGCTTAACAGTTCGGGATGAACTTTTTATCCAGTGGCACAAATCCATACGCTGTGCATGGTCGCCTGGTTCCAGATGTTGTACCATTTGATCATGGTAAGAATAACTCTTCATGATGTAAAGTTTGCCACACCTGAATACGTGATACGCCGATGCGAGAGGCGATTCTACGAGTGATAGACGCGGACTTCACTGAACAATATCAAGAATGTGCTCTCGTGTGTCTATCATTCGTACATCCTGCCTTTCAGAGTGCACAGAAACACTTGCAAGAGAACCAGTATCACGCAATGTCTGGTGAATTCGCGTAAATACACTTCGAGATGGAATCCTTCGATCGGGAAAACGCCTTTGGTATTCTTCAACAGCAGCACGTGCATTGCGACCGCAAAATCCACACACAAAATGCATATCACAATATTCCACGTGTGAAAACACAAAAGGCATTTCAGCAACTCATCACACAACTAATTTACCACCCATTCACGACCCCGCCGCAACGTAATCTGTAGGCTCTCTTAGGTTGCGCATGAGATCACGGCTAGTGTGACATCACCACACTCAAGTACAAACAGATAACAGTCACAGCTGACTGTCCACCGTGCGTGGACCTGCAAGAAGACCACACTTTTCTCGGGCCATTATCTCCGTAACCGTTCAACTTTGGACATAGGTGTTTTGGGTTATATGGGCATACTTTAACATAAGGAACACCCTCCCGAAGTTTGGTCCATTCCTCCTGGGACACTCTGTATATGCGGTATCCTCGCTCCTCGTCCTACAAAGGACGAGTTCCTAGAAAATCATGCGTTAAATTAATGGTTTCCCTTTAATGAATGTAAAGCAATAGCTATACTGAGGTATCTGTATCATATAAGCAGACAAACAGCGAAGATATGCATATAGATCTTTGTGTATATTGTATTTATTAGTGTAATGAACAAAACCATTGCAACAAATATTTGTCGAACAGATTGTTTCAAGCCGTAACCTTTCTAACCTCACTCAGGGTAGCCGATGTTCGCGCTATCCTGACTGCGGTTTCTCGAGGTTTTTCTCAGCTCCTCCAGGAAAATGCAATAACAGTACCTCAAATTAGGCTACGGTCGCTTTGTTGCATATCATTTCCAATTTATTATTTATGAAATCAACTTATTATTAGAAGCTATGCAGTCTGAGCATCGTTAAATAAATAACGCACAAAGACAGATCCAACAAACATTCAGTCTAAATAAAAAAAACAAGAAACATATGAAACAAAAAAGAAAACGAAGTGGTCGTATTGGACACGGATGGTCGGTGAGTCATCCTCTGAGACGAGCAGAAGCTTACAGCCGATGTTACGAGTTCAGGCTTGGTTTCTTTTCGACGTAGCGACAATGACTTAGATCTATGTGTACCGAAAACCATATATTACTTTTCTAAAGGCGCTAACGTGATAATTCGTAACAGAAGAATGTGAAACAAGAAGTTAATGCATATTCCAGTGCTACGTGTGGTGTTAGACCGCCATTAGACATAACACCTCCATGCAGCTATGTGAGATGTTATGCTTCTGGTGATAGGACAAGACTAGACCTGTGAATGGCGTCAAGAGATAAGTGAGGGTTAGATTTCCCTAATAATCTTGCCACCATCCGTCCGTTCCTGTCTGTCATTGCAATAAGAAGCTTAGCGGTGAAAACATCTCTTGGGAGCATAAGTGCTCTATGTGAAGGTTACACAACAGGGTATCAGCTGTAAAGTTGGAGCACAGATCGCTGTCTCCTAAGATGTGACTCAGACTAGTCTGGGAGATGTTTATTGACATTTCGGAGGAACGTGCTGTCACCCTGAAGATGGAGACAGTACCCTGCTCAAAAACGTTGATACATATATACCAGGGTGTTCGAAGATACATCCCAGAAGACAGCCATGTTCACACCCACCTCCATGAGGTCTGCAGATCTCATAAACTTTTGAGTGTAGGTAAAAGGTAAGGTAAAGTTGTTCCTGTGCTTAATTAATTATCTACCACCCCATGAAGACATATAGGGGGAGTGGAGGTAAAGCTGCACCATTCTCGGCCTCGGCACTGGATGGAGGTGAGCTGTCAGTTTCACGATCCAACCGCTTTACTGCCATGAAAAGAGTCCTCGTTACCCATTGGACAGGCGGCTGGGATGTGCCGCGGACCCGGTCTGGACGCTGCGCAGAAGTGAAAATCTGTTGCTTCTTCCGGGAATCGAACCTCTGCCGTCCAGCCCGTAGCAGGTCACTACACCGACTGAATTATTCTGGCTAAAGTAGGAGTGAAAACCACTTGATTTTGCTCCGCATTCCTGTCAAAGATAGAGGCTCCATATTGATCGACTGAAGGGGTGTAATATATATATATATATATATATATNTACCGGTAGCGTTTTCTTTTCCTCAGTAACTCCAAGCAAATGTCGGGTTAATACCTCGACTAGTGAACGACCGCTTCTTTCTAAATCCTTTCCAATTCATTATTTACCAACCATTCTACCAATCGATACTGTACAGTCCGAGACACTGACAGCGTAGCAAAATAAATCACAAAAATGAGGTTAGCATTTGAACATTTTTGGCAGATATTCAGTTCGAATTTCGTACCTGTGTCTGGCGACAAACTCTGAGTATCCCCGCGTGTTACCTTAACATTTCCGAGGGAAATTTTCGGTTAATATTTGAAAATAAGCTGAACCGCTTCTTTACATCTCTCCCGATTTGCAGTCCATAAACATCCTACCAATTATCATTTGATATCATATAAGCTGTTCCGTCGCCACGGTATCATTAAGTAGAAAAATAAATAAGTAAATCTGAGAAGTTGACATATTAATGTAATCACATTTTGAAAATAGTACTATATTTGTAAGCGGTCTTATTATATAAATTACATTTATTTAAATTATCAATTGAGTTCTGTGGACTGGATTCATCTGGCTCAGGATAGGCGATAATGATGGGTTTCTTTGAACACGGTAATACACCTCCCGATAATTTATTAGCCACATGAGTGTCTACTGGCTCCTCAGGGACTTTACTCCATGTAGCCAATTTGGAATGTTCAACCCGGATAACCCCCTCCCACCGGATCCTGTGGGATGTGACACCCACATCTACAAACCTGAACGTGATATGACGTTTACGGAAGCTGGTGTACAGGGTACCTCTGTCCTGTCCGGAAGATAGATCCAGACAGTCACAATCCTGCTGTTGAGAGCAACAGCCATGAAGTCGACACCAGCTACTTACAGTATAGCGATTCAGAACCTGGTGTGTGAGAGCTACATTTCAATTAGAATCAGTTTTTGTGTAACTCCTGTTGAAAATGAAACGGAAATTCTCATTTGGTTTATACATTACATAGTTCACAATTGGCCATAATTTCTTCATTGTTTCCGTACACTGTCTCCTAGCCCGTGATCATTTTGCTCATCCCTCGTGTAATTTGGTAGGCGAGTACCTATGCCAATCGTTATAGGCCAGAACCTTTTCCAACTGTGACAGGACAGAGCCTGTCCCGACTGTTATGGATAAACAAGTTCAGTGTTCTGCCCTTGTTGAATAATTCACCAACAACGTTTTTAGTTTTCGTCACAAAGCGAAAACGTAGTCTAAATCTCGAAATTAAAAACGCGAACTTTCACGGATTCAACGCAGCTTTAAACGAGACCAGTTATTCCAGAACTGTGTCCAGCGAGTTCCCACGCGGATAGGTTTCTCGAATGGCAGCTTTTATTATAAATCTAATTTAGTGTATATCCGAGAGGGCGGTCCGAAGTAGGAACGTTAAGACAATAATTTTGAATACTTTCAGAGTGTTTCTTTTTTCTTTCTTTTTTTTTTGGGTGGGTGAATGATAGAACAGACTGTGAGGTAGAGAATGTTTATTTGTAAGATTTGAGGCTTTCACGGCGGTGACCATAAAGAAAGCAGTCTTTTGGGATTTGGCACCGTGTATATGTGGTGTTAACCGACGTTTCGGAGGAACGTATCGCCTCCATCTTCAGGGTAGAAGAAAATATATAAGAAATCTGCAAGCGAAGAGACCGTGAGAACCGGTAAAAGCAGACTGTTCCTCTGAAACGTCGGTTAACACCACATATACACGGTGCCAAATCCCAGAAGACTGCTTTCTTCATTGTTTATTTGGTTTGCATTATTACCGAGCTCTATATTTGAAGTTCTTTCTTATGATTTTATACTAGAGCAACGATTCACTGAACTTTCTTTCACTAGTTTGTATGAAAATCTGATTCAAAAGTACTAAAGGAAACAAATATGAACTTTCTTTCACTAGTTTGTATGAAAATCTGATTCAAAAGTACTAAAGGAAACAAATATCGAGTGTATAATCTTTGGCACAGTAGGTCTATACGAAGTTACAATTTGAAGTTCTACTGACACAAAATCAAGACTACAGAATATTTGATGCTCTATGTACTATAATAATTCAGATTTCTAGCATTGCTCCCAACATTCGTGGAATATGTGTTATGAAAACCAGAAACATTCTCATTAACAGGAGAAAATGGGTGTTAGATCAGTTTCCTTCATCTGTCTCTCTTGTTTGATGTAAAAACATCCCCTGTTTCATTAGATAATAATGTGATCACCCTTAATTTTTTCTTTGGGGTTGCATTGCTAATTTTTAGGCAAAAACGGTTCTGTGGAGAAAAATAATTTTGGAAAGCACTACCATAAACGCCTGTATTTATGAAAGTCAGATAGCATCTGAGGTCTACTGCACACATGGTGAAAGGATACGAAGGGGAACTTCTCTTTTGATAACAACAGTAGACAGCACTTTAACATTCTCTTTGTTTATGAATGACATCAACACAATTTAGAGAAGTGAACAATATAAACCATTGTTTTTGCATTAACTTATCTTATAATGCAAAGAACCAAGCACACAAGGGAACCTTTAAATACTGAACTCAAAATTAAATCGCAGTTCCCTCCATTTCTATAAATGGAACAAATATTTGGCTCTTTATCAGCAACAAGTTTAGTATTGAACTCCTCAATCTTTGTTTCATTGTAAACATCACATATCTACAGTAACAGGGCAACTAAATAAGTAAGAAAACTAATTTATTTGGTTGCTGAACTTGCTTGCTTGGTGCAATATTGCCACAAAAATAATTGCTCTTCTTTCAGCTAGAAATTAATCAGAACCTAATGCTAGTTGGCCAATACCTGAATTTATTTATACTGAAAAAAGTCACAGTGCTAAGTCTATTTATTTTTTAGTTGCTACCATGTTATTTGAAATGTGCAATGTGTAAGAACATATTAAGGCCATTACTTCAGACTGTTGTCCACTTTTCTTTTTTCTTCATGCTTAAGCAATTTCCTGCTTCTGCTGGCCTTAAAGTCATCTTTACAGTACCATAATCTTCCTCTCTTACTCTTTGATCTGTAGATTTATAATCCCTTGTTGCCTTTGGTTGTCCACACATTTACATGAATCTACCATATTTTTCTGTGCACAATCTGAATTACAATCCACATTGCGTTTCCTATGCATGCTGGTACTATTTTATGGAAAATTACTGTTATCTAGGAAGTAACACTATCTAGTCTGGTAGAAGTTAAACGAAATTCCTGAGAATATACTGCCTGCATCTGCAAAGTCAAACAAGTGAAGTAAGCAGCCAACAAGAAACAGGAGAAGGCAACGTTTGCTTGGTTTACACTTTGACCTTGATGATGGAGGCTGTATATTCTTCTAAAACGTCAGTGAACTTTTAGACAACTGCATAACTTCCCAGAAGACGGTATTCTTCACACTGACTGCTGTGAGAACCAGAAATCCAACACAATAATTTTCTTGTCAGTGTACTTGCAGTTGAGGCTCGGCAACTTCTCTGCTTTATTGTTCTTTTTGTATTCTCTTCTGCCCCATGCATCAAGGCCTATTTTACTACTGGTGAGCAACCTTCTAGTTTTTGTAACTTCAAATATGTACTCATGGACATCATTTTAACAAAATATCTACAAATTATTCAAAGAAATGTCTGTTGTCTGCCATTTTTGAGTAATATGTAATTAATTCATATCTCTTAATAAGAACCCTCATTACCATTTTTTTTTTAAATCCATTCATCCATAGCAAAGTGATGGGTGCAATGAGGCAATGAAGCATGTTTGTGAACTGTGTCTAAATTGATGTCAATGCTGCTGTTGAGTGTATGTGTATCTTAAATTGTATGTAGACCTATCCATGGAACAGTTTACAGTAGAAATGAGGACATGAAACTGTAGGAGGAATCTTGTCTAATACTTGAAGCTGCTTCATGTAACTTACTAAAAGTAGCCAGTTTTTTGTAACTGAGTTGTTAAAAATTTCCTCACTCCTACTCTATGCAAGCCTCCACATTAGACTGAAATGAGAATGAGCAAAATCAGCAAAAATGTACACCATGTGTCTTGATGAAGTAAGTTGCAGCTGTGACTTACACTGATGTCATCTTAGCCATTTCGTGTCTTACTGTGAATGTTTATTCATCATGCCATTTGTTTGTTATTATTAAACATATTAGGATAGTGTTTCAAAATTAATATGCAGTAATAGAGAACAGATAAGTTTGCATTTGCAAAACACTTCCTCAAACATCATTTTGTATAATATTTTTATGCTTGACCAGTGTTACTATGGCAAGTATATATATAATATATATATAAACAAAAGTCTTTATGTCTCAGCTTAGAATGGTAATAAGTAACTGCAAGAATAGGTGGAAATTTCTAATGGCAGAAAGGTTCACAGTGGGCATCTTCAGCTTTCCATAAAATGGTAACATGTAACTACGAGAACAGACAGAAATGCCAAGTGATTGCGAAGGTTTACAGTGGGGCATTTTACTTTCTATAAAATGGTAATATGTTAACTGTGATCACTGATGGAAACGTATAATGACTGAAAGGTTTAGTGCAGGCGTTTTTGCCTTTCCATTAAAT